CAGTAACCACATAATTATAAACATTTGACTTGAATAGGATTTGATCCTATTATCTGGTATCTGCAAAATAACGTGGTACTTACTTTTAAACATTGTGGTGAACCACTAAGTAACTACAAGATTCAGCCAATCACAGCGTTGTATTGTTTTTCCGGAAATCACTGTTGACGGATCACGGAGCAGTGTGAATCCACCTTAAGAACGCCAAACGCTCGAAGTATCAATTGCAAGTAACCGCACTAGATGGCGCGCGTGGCGTAAGCATAATTCTAGTTCAACCCGGTACGTCAACCTCACATAAGGTGGTACAAAGTCTCTACCATGTACTAACTACTTGTTATGTTTTATTTGTTATTGTTATGATTATTATAGTTATAAGCTTACAAAAATTAGTTTAATCTCATTAGCCGTACTGAAAACGTGTAGCTATGCCTATACTTCCTGGAATGTTAAATTCTACTGATTGTGAGAAAGTCTTAGGTTTACCTGTCCAGCTTTCACCTGTCACGAAAAACTAAATTGACCCAAAGATGAATACACATACAATAGGTTACTCCTTCTAAGACAGAAGAACTAAAATTTCTTAGCAGCCAAACAATAGTGTTCTGTAAATTCTGAAAAAAAAAAACAAATTACTACTAGAGTGCGCTAGCAGAGCGCTCATTGTGTATATTGGATTGTTAGTTGCCTAGACCTGATCTACATTGTGCTGCTATCACAGCTAATGTTCAACAGCGTTGCCACTATGCAGTGTCAATGACGACCCACTGGTCCACACGGCGATTAAATGATGGCCCACTGTAATTCCCACAGCTGTCCATTGGCAAGAGGAGAGCTCTTACACTCAGGACAAGTCCGCCTAAAAATTGTCAAAGGTGGCGTTGAGAGGAAAATGTAAATTGTAAACGCGAAAGGCGACAGCCGATCGCGGATAATTGAAAGCCTATCTCACTCACATTGAAATACAAGCGGCTGGTGAGTGGTTGTTTGGACAATATAGTTGAAACGTATGACGCTCACGACAGAAACTTAAGGGGCCTCCTTGTTACTGGATTCCGAGGAATATTATATAGGCAACTTCTTATACATTCAGCAATATTAGCCATGTCGTTGTATTAACCGTAAATTAGCGTTCATAGTAGTAGTAACCTTCATAGTAATAGTACGGAGGGATCTCGCATGCACTCGAACGCACATGTCGGATAACAATTTTGTGATCAACAAAAAATATTTATTTTTCACTCAAACAGACAATTCTACTTCCAACGTCACATCACAACTAATACATCGATTTGCTTTTTGAAAAAATATTCTAGTTTTCCACAACATGTACGAGGGATCAATCGATACACATTTGTATTATTTTAGTTAGTTGATTAAATATTTAAGTTAGAAATCTTACCAATTTTTCAACATTTTAACCATTGCAATTAAATTTCAAGTTAGAACAGTTCAAAATATGGCTCGATCGTTCGCGTGTACATATTACGGAGGATCTGAATATTTTTTTAGAATTCAAATCGTGATAATTGTAGATACGTATCGTTGGAATTAAAAACAGTAGTTTTTGACAACAAAACACTCATTCAAGAGGCCCCCTAAAAAATAAATACTACAGAACCGGAAATCCGTCGCGCGCCAAGGGCAAATAACAAAACAACGAAATTTTATGAATTCACGTCGACTGAGTATAAGCGGTGTGCGTAAGGGATTGCGTCGCACGACAAAAAGGTTAGGTTCAATCTTACGGATCAGAACTTTTCGACTGGTTCATGTCAGCTTTGGCAAACAATGTTAGGACTGAATTCACGGACCGGGAGGGGGGGGGGGTTATTTTAGTTTCTTGAACACTTATAGATCTTAATGACCGAAGACGATAACCGATAAGATTTCGACGGCCTAAATACGGGTATTAATATAATGTACAAATATCTGAAAACACTATAATAAGACTAGTGAACGAAAATTTGCTATGTCGTACACGTCTGAGACTGAGACATAACACAGAGTAGGTGCGAAGTCTCCTTGCTATCCCCGATTGGAAATTAAGAAAATCATCCTTTGACAATGAATCATTTAGACAGATTACAACATAATAAAGGTACTTGAATTACCTACATGTAGACTGTACAATAAAATAAATATTGAAGAATAGGCATCCTACTTATCAAGCAAATATTTATTAAACAGGGAATATGAATAGTGATGCAGCACACATCATGATAATTATTGACGTTCAATAATAATAATTATTCAATACACTGTGTAGTATACAGAGTCAATTTTTTGTCCATGCTCATAAAAGTTCAGACTTTTAGAATTTTTAATTATACATAAAGGCTAAAGACTATATTTTCAAATTTCTGATATTCTTTGTATATATTGACTAGAAGTGTTCTGTATTCTATCAATACAAACTTCTATTTTTCAAACAAGAACACTCTTTATTTACCGCAAATTATTTAGAGGATGATTTTCTTCTGCATCTAAATCAAAGTTTTAATGAGTAATCATACTAGTTTCTAAAATGCTAAAGTCAAAAATCTCTAAAAATGGGCTTACAAAAATATAATAAGCTATAATTATTTATATTGATAGATTAATATGAATAACAGACATTTTAAAATCATCTAACCATCTACGAACCTGTATTTATTTTTATAATCGGGTGATTAAGAAAATAAAAATTTGAAAATACGTTTGATCTTTAAATTCAAGTTGAAAATAACACATAAAAAATATATCATCAATATTTAGATTAAAATAAAATAAAATCTTCACAATAAAGGTAATATATAAGCATACTGTAGTCTAATTTTTCAAAAAATATCAGCCACGCAGTTCTGGTTTTTTGGCTAACAGAGTTTAAATACGATATTATATAATTATCTAGAACATGAAATGATTTAGTTTTAAAATTTGAAAAATAAAAAACATAATCGTGATATTTACTTTTAATTGAAAAAAAAAACAAAAATTTTTACGGAGGTCGAAGTTGCACGTGAAACTACGATTGGGCGAACGGTGTGGGGTTCACAGGTACCACCTCAGAGCTTCTATGAACCCCGGTTTTTTAGTGCAACCGTTCAATGCACCCGAAAGTGAAGGGTGAGAGGGGATTGTTGGTGGCTAGTGCCGTGATTTACTTTAGGACGGACTAAATACCAACCCCTAATGCCGATTCACGGAGATCGTGCCCCAACAATCCCTTCCCAAACGACCATTCGTTCTTTCTTGGAGTCCCGCATTATATGAGATCATATTATAGAGATCATAATTATAGAGATCATATTATATGAGACCAGGGCGATTCACCATACGGCGATTTTGGGTAGCTCCACGTACCAGACCTCACAACCACTAGCGTTGTTGATCTAATATATATATCACCCTTCGGGCACTATGGTTACTTTGTGAGAGTGGTTGACGAACATGCGTCTTTTAACTTCCGTTTCCGATCCGGTTCTAGGATTAGAAGCCAGAGAGCGCTGCAGTATAGAATATGTGCATTGTGCAATAGCCTAGAGCGTCAACAAAAAGCAATATACCTTTTATTAGGTACCCTATTGTTTAGATCCATAAAGATGGCAAGATACTTAAAACAATTATTGGATATTTTAAAGAGTAACAATTACAATATGAACCTTTTTAGAGCTGTGACAATAAGACAACAATTTTGGTGGAGGTCGAAATTGCACCTGAAACTACGATTGGCCGAACGGTGTGGAGTTCACAGGCACCGAAAGTGAAGGGTGATAGTTTGTTGTTGGTGGCTAGTGCCGTGAACTACTCTAGGCACCGGCTAGATAACTAACCCGTCAATTAAGAAGAAAGCCATCAGCCCTCCTGCTATTTCAAGGGTTTACCGCATGCTCCAACCAATCAGATCTCCCAAACGACCATTCGACTCTTTCTGAGGGTAGCAATTTTATGAAAGATTCATGATGGCGCAGTGATTCACCGTATGGCGATAACGGATAATTCCATCTTCCAGACTTCACAAACACTTGCTTTGTCGATCACATATTATATATACTACCCTTCGAACGCCGGTTGTTACCTTGTAAGAGGGGATGACTTACATTCTATAGACTATAATATAGAGACTAGAGAGGTAAAAAATATCTACTAAATAAGCGAGTTGTAATTCTAATTTCAAATCACAACATTTTTCAAGTAACTCTGAATCATTCTCGTTTAAATATATTTTCATTTCCTCTTTTGGTGCATACAACAATTTTAACATATTCCCTTTTGGAAGCCAGCGAACCTCTGAACGAAAAAGTAATGTGTAGTATTTGGAGTCCAATTCAACTCAATTTTTTTCTGCGTGCGTTAAGTGCTTTGCTTTTCAAAAAATTCACTAACTTTATTGTTAGTTTCACAACATTAGCTAATTCTTGTGGTAATGTTTTTGTAGCTAACGCTCGCTGATGAATGACGCAGTATGTCGTTGAAGTTGACGGATTTCTCAATTTATTTCAATTTCAGTAAATCCATACTTAAAATAAGTATCATCATATTTCCTCTTCCGTAACATATTCCTCACTAAGTCCGACTAGGTTTCAAGAAAAAAAAATCGAAAATACTTATTTTTAAACGGCAGCAACAACGATAAGATAACAGTATACTACGGTTCCTCAATAAGTCGTTATGTTTTTCGCTATCCAAAAAAACAAAAAAATAATTTGTAATAGAAATCGAAGAAAAAATCTATGGTACGGCTATGCTGGTGCACGGACCACGGGGGTTCACGAGGGATCACGGAACGGCGCGGTTGGGAAACACTCGTTCTAAATATAGTCGGCATTCGGTTATACGCTTGGACGCCAGATAGCACTGCAGTATAGAAAATGTGCAAAAGCATAGTTAACAACAAAAAACAATATACTTTTAATTAGACACCCATTTATTTGAATCCATAAATTATACAGATCACTCACGTGACGGTGACACGTTGGTTGACAATATCCCTTGTCACAGAAAGAATTTTAGGAACATTTTTTTTCGATAATACGTTTATTTAAGGCACTTGAAATCATAGTGTAAAATAACACAGTATAAAAAATATATCATAAATGTTTAGGTTAAAATAAAATAAAATCTTCACAATAAAGGTAATATTAAATCATGTAATCTAATTTGTTAATTGAAATAGGTATACATTATATAAATAAAAACTAGAAGTATATCAGATACCATACTATAGGTAATAGGTATAATGCGTACTATATCACTCTGAATAACATTGTAATACATTTATGAGCTGGGAATACATAACTAAATTACTAATTACCTAAAGGTTGCATTATAAAATTATCTGTGTGAAAAAACAATACAATTCAACAAGAAACGTACAAAAATAACTTGGACAATAATATTATATAAAAAAATATCAACTTGATCTTCTATAATTTTAATCAATATTAAAAATGGACGGATTGTTCAACAATATTGCACTTAAAATTATTAAACAATAATATAATTTGCTAAAAAAAAATTATATAAAAAAAGGTCATATAAAATATTATACTTTTTTTTAGATACATCGTTACAGTTATCTAACCTTGTAAAAAGACACTTATAATATTAAGATAAAGTATTGTATCGTTTATGTCTAATGTGTTATCAGTAAAATCTTAAAATTAAAAAATGGACGGATGATTTTAATTTTACAATTATTGAGAGTAATAAATAATACACAGCATTTTATGATTGAGATTCAGCCAATGATCACAATATGATGAGCAATCAAAAATGATGCCCATAAAACATTCTTATGCAATTTTTAAAAATTGTTTGAACACAATAAAGTCTATAACCATGCGCAAGTACAAATTACAGATAACATAATTATAATTCACAATGGTACATTGTCAAATTGATCTAAATTTGTGGACGGACTGTTACAATATTAAGGCTAAGTATTTTATCATGGATGTCTTACGTATTATCAGTAAAATCTTAAAATTAAAATTAATAAATGGACAGATATTTTTAATTTTACAAATATCAAGAGCTGGTAATAAATAATATACAGCATTGTATGATTGAGATTCTGAAAATGATCACAATATAATGAATAATCTAAACAATAAATGATGCCCATAACATTCTTAAGCACTATTTATAAATTGATTGAACACAATAAGTCTATAACCACGCGTGAATACAAATTACAGATAATAACATGGTTATAATTCCCAATGGTAATGATATATTACCAGATGCACGGCAGTCAACAAGACGACGTGCCCGCATGAAATTTTGTCCTAACCAATCGGAGTAATGTCTTAATGAACTATCAATGGATGCAAGCTGCTGGGTAGAATCCTGGAAGATCAGATCGCTGTATGGTTCCGGTGACGTGAACATGCTGAAACTGAAATTAAAACAAATTTAAAATTTTACAGTAGGTAAAAGATTAAGATAATCAACAACTCACGTAAACTCATCAATAGTCTTCCTGCCATATAACTGTTGGGCAGCCATAAACAGATTGGTAAATGCCATCACTTCGGTATGATTATAAGCTATGCCTCCACGAGTTATAACAGCGTTAGCTTTAACTTTACCCAAGCTACACTTCTTATAATCTTGAATCGGTGATCTAGTACCTGTGTAAAATAAAAAATATATTATATAGTACAATTTTTTAATTTAAAGTATAGTTATATTATTTTATTTAATATTGGTAACATGCACTGCTAATATGAAATTGTTTTAAAAATAATTATTTTATTAATAATAAATAATTCTAAAACTAGAATTTTGTCATACTCAAAATGATTTTGATAAATATACTATCTACAACAGAGATTGGCCAATACAAATTATCTTATGTGCTACTATGGAAATATATTATAATCTCATAGGTCACATACTAAATTACACATATTAGATTTAGTCAAAACAAAAATAGCTCCTCATCTTAACCTGCTCCTTCCATTCTTGTTCACTATTTTTCTTTTCATTGAACTCTATTTAAAATTGCTAAAAACCTTCTTTTGTTGAAAATATACTTAGATAATTAAACCGGAAAACACATTTTCAATTGACACTGAGAGCTCTTCCACAGTCACAGGTCGATTATGTCTTTTATAGGCCATGTTTTATTTAAATTATATAATTTGATATAAGCTGATAATTATGTTATTTTTAGATTAGATTAAAATTATTATTATTGTTGTGTTTACATTGTTAATAATACAGGTACCGCGTTGTCGGAACATTATATTGACACAAAAATAAAACTATCCAAGGCAGGCCATCAGTGATCTATAGTATAAATACTACAGAATTCTAAACAATTTATTCCCCACCATTTCAGATCTGCACCTCATTACTCATCATCGTATTAGGTTAAAAGCCATTGACTTTTTGGTCATTCCTAAATTTCTGATACAGATATTTAATAGGATTGACACTGAGAAGCAAGTTGAAACAATTATGTTCTATTGAGACAGCAAAATGTAAATTACATACAAGGTTAAATTAGATAAAGAAAGGGACGGTATTTTATGTTTATGTTTAAATAATTGAGGTTTATTAAAATCAAATTTAAATACCAACGTTAAATTGTTTCTAACATATTTCGTTAAATTTTTAAGCAGAAAATGTGAGTATTCAATAAATATGGAACTTTTAATCACGGTTTTATAATAGTTCAAGATCGTATTAATGCATTTATAAATTATAATACACATTCAAATTATTATTTTTGGAAAATTAATAAAGTAATAAATCATAAAACAATGATGATATTTATGTGACTGTCAAAAACTCAAATATCATTAATTAAATATAAGATATAATACAAATTTTAGTTATACTGTAATATTATTAAAAGTATGTGAAAATTAGGTATTAAAATAAAGCAATAAGTAACTATATATTTGAACTATTTTTATACCTAATATGTTTTTTAAACCAGCAACTGGTTATACTAAATATTTATTATTATTTAAGGGTTAAACCATAAAGGCATTTTATGTATAAAATTACTAAATACATATTTCAAATGTATGTTTGAAAGCTAAAATAAAAGTCACACTGTAAGCCAGGGGTTGGCAATAACCAGGCCAAAGAAATAAATTAATCGTCCAAAAATATTTTTAATTAGTTCTAATTTTTATTTGAAAATTATTTGTCTCTGTGTAGATTCTGATTCTGAATAATTAATAAAACCAAAATAAAAGGTTTTTGGAATTACATTTTTTTTTCAAATCATCCAGATCCCTTAGAAACTAATAGCCAAAGACACTGTAGTAAGCCGACATATTTTACTAAAATATAAAGTACATAATACAAATACACATACATTTATAAACAATAAAATATGGCAACTAGTTAGAAAAAATTACCACTGGAAAAACAGGAAAAAAATATATAATGGGAAAATAATCAACATACTGGTAAAATAGTCCACAGAAATAAAAGCCCATAAGAGTGCCATATAATTGTACTACAGGTAATATAACATTTTACAATTAAGAACACGTGATCACACTAACACCTGGGTTGTTGTTATCCGATGCACGGCACTAACAAAAATCAGTTGGTCAACTGATTATTCTCTTTGGAGACGGAATATTGTGTAACATGGAAAAATGTTGAACTTCAGAAGTACAGTACTACCTAAACTACCAAGAGTATAATAGTGTAGCAGTACATATTTTTGAATACTGAAATACTTATTTAAATGGATAAATGATATAACTACTGATGACAATTTTTATATTTTGACTGATTTGAGTAAAGTACATTTACTTTATTTAAACTGTTGAGTTTTGGGTACCTACTAACATATTTATATATATTTTATCTCTCTTAATAGAATAGGTTAATGTGATTGATGTATCACATTTAAATTTAATAAAACATATTTATTTCTCATACATTTTTTTCTCAGGGTGAATATTTTTCTGAGGGTTTTTGTTTTTATTTGTAGGTATTTATTCTACAATTCAGAAGAAACATTTGAATTAACCCATTTTTAAAATAAAAAATTATAACCCCAGAAAACAAACAATCCAAAGCAATATTATTCTTTCATATCCAAATATTCAATATAAATTCCTTATTGAGTTATAACTTATAAGCAATGATAAATAATACATAGAATAAAATCCTACAGTCAGGAACATCTCCAGGGAAGGGCAGGGTGGAGCACTTGCCCCACCCCCCTAAAAAAATATCTGGGGATAGCCATGCCTGCAGTCAACTTGACTGTTGCAGATTTTCTACCTATATTTCAGTACATGAAAACTTACCATCAGGACACAGAAGTTCGAAATCATATGTTAGAGTATTCCTTGCCCACCACTCTTTGCGTTTTCCATCTACATTCTCAAACACTGTGGTATGTTTGACAAAAGCTACATTTCCACCACCTTCGACCAAACACCTCAAGGCTCCTGTATAGGGGGAAAAAAAAATTAATAAATTCATATTTAATTATAGAAATAATTAATGAATAATATTATAATAATCTTATTAGCTCTGAAGTAACCTTACCTGTGTAACCATAAAAGTCTTCAGTGGCATCACGTTTGCAGTACCGATAACTAGCACCTCTACATAGATGGCAAAGGTTATCATAAGGTAAACCTGGGTTATATTCATTACTTAATGCACCGGGTACACAAGATTTACTAAAGTATTCAGAAGCAGCTTGTATTGAGTCACATCCATAACTTCGTATCCACCCATTACTCAACAAAAATGCCATTGGTATTATCCATCCACCACCCGAATATATACCCGGATGACATGTCATTTTTCCTAAAATTGTTGGCATAACACAACAATATAGTATTTGTTAAGACTTTTTAATTAGTTTGAAATAAACCTTTTAAAAACGTTATTTCGGTATCAGGATCCTCTTCTTTTGCCACAGCCACAACATAATATTCTGGTTCAGGAAAATCATACATTTCAGTGATAAATGGTATTTCATCATAATGAAGTCCAGCTGTATAAATATCACCAGCGTCCATCACAGCAACATCTGCGTTTCTGTTAACACAATAAAATATAAATGTTACTAGTTTGCTTGTATAATGTATAGGGTGATTGCAATATAATTTTAACATACCCATTTCTAATGGCTTGCATACAATGCACTTGACTGTAACCGCGGAAACAATGCAATTCAGGAACCAAAAGTTGAACTTTTAACGCCAACTATTGACCACAGAAAGAAAAATTAATAACAAACTTGTAAAAAATAAATATGAATATATTAAATATATTATTTACCTTCATTTTAATACATTTATCCATTTCTGGCTCAGACGTTACACAAAGTGTCATTTTGGCAACAGGACAATAACGTACTCCAAGTATAATGTCCATGGCATTTCCTAAGTAACTTGTATATGTTTGGTGGGCTTCTTCTAAGGGCCGCAAGCCTCTTGTTGAGTCCTACAACAATAAAATAGTATATTCATGGATAGGTGAAAAATACATAAAGGCAATTTTTTATTAGTTTTCAATAAATGTTAATTAGAGTAAATATTCTACTTAAATAACTCGTGTGCTTGTTTTAAAAACAGTACACATAATTAATTCTGAGAGATTACCAAAAGTGTTATCCCAGTTTACTAATGACAACTTTACACAATATTAATCACATTTTTGCCTTGTATAAAATATATTTTAACATAAAGTTGTACCTTGTATTTATTTTTATTGAAACAAAATTAAATATAGTTCTATAAAATAGAACATAATTTTGTACAAATCTTATGATTTAGAATTTTTACCCAATTTTTAATTTGTTTTATTCATTTTAGCTGCTAATAAAATATACTACACTAAAAGAATAAAAACAAATTATGTCGAGTTTTTTTTTTAGGCGCTTTAAATAATTTCAAGTGTTATATTTACGGGCTTTTAAGTTTTTACTTCAAATAATTTTAAATTACCTGTAACAAAAGATTGTGGTGATTATCATAAACTGAAGAATCAAATAAATTAAAACTTTTGCTGTTGATCTGAGACTGAGGTTGATTGAATCCTCCTGCCCAGTTGATATCAGGAGCAGTAGATGTGAACTGTTGTGGTGCAGATTTTGGTTTTCCATATAATTCAATTATTTTCTAATGAAATAAAATTAAAATAATGTTAAAAGCTATAAATAATATTTGTATTACGTAACATGTAACTATTCAGCTAAACAAAATATTGATAAAAGGCAAAATGTAAGTTATAGTATTTATGCGTTTTCTCATAGCATGCTGCATGCCATTAAGCAAATTTTAAGACAGTGATACTTTTGTACTTAGCTTTCTTGTTATATGATTATTATTTTTTTAATGGTTTGAAATTTTTATCATGCCAATTATTTTATGGTAGAAAATACCTGCAGCCATCTTTGGTATGAGATACGAGCAGAAGAAGATTTGGCAGATGTAGTCATAATAGCATCAGTAGGTACTGGTCCCCAATTACAGTTCTTAAATTCACCAATTGGACGTCTTGAACCGTCCACACACAGTAGTTCTAAATCATCTTCTCTGGTTTTACCTACATTTTTAAATGGCAATAATATTTCATATATTTTATAAAGACAAAAAAAAATTCTGTTGAAAACAAGTTGACTCTCCTTCCAATTTCACTAAACTTGCGACAACACCTTAAGTATCATAATTTATAATAATAACATTCCTTTAGTGTTTCTAACATGGAAAATTCTCTTGATATTAATAAATCAAAAATCTCAAAAATGTTGATGATCATATAATACGATACTTAAGACGAAATTGGGCAAGTATAAGGAAAATATTAAGGGCAATAATGGAAAGTTTTTCATGCATCACATATGATATACAAGGCAGTCAACTTGTCAAATAACTTCAATCATTTATATATATATACAGAATGATTAGTTATATTATATATCTTACTAAATAATGATGGATCCCTTAACATTTCCAATACAGTTGTATGTCGTAAAAATGCGATATCGCCCGACTCGATTAAACATCTAAATGCTCCTTCGTCACCAGCATATGGATCGTTTGATGTACATTTTTGGCCAGAAACTTTGCTAGCGCAGAGAATACATAAACGGTCAGAATTATCACCTAAAAAAAATATTGGTAAAAGTTATTTAATAAGTATTTTTAGTGTTCATGTTATTTAGTATTTACTAAACATTATAGTATTATGGAATTCAATTTAATTAAACTTCTTCATCAATAAATACATCATACTTTTCAGTTACTCTTTAATAGTTTAATATTACTATTATTTATAACATATATATATGTATAAATTATAATTTGTAACAGTACTAAATATAAAAATGAATTACCCATTGGATTGTACTTGTCAAGTAATGAATTTACAGCACAACTGTGACCAAAAAATTCTATAGTAGTTTTCACATGGTTATTACAGTCAAAAATGTTCATATAACCTTTAGAAATAAGCTGAAAATAAAAACTCAAATACTATTAGAATACACATTAAAAAATGTTGAGTGCAATTTAAGCTTACAGTATTTATTGGTACATTCCATCCAGCTTGAGTACCGACTCCGGCAAAACAAGCTTTTTTACCCTTCAAATTTCCAAGGTTATACACATCATTTAAAGTGTTCTTTTTTATTAAAGCAACAGAGTAATATTCAGTAGAGCCATCTGAAAAAAAAATTAAACAATATTAAAATACACAAATAATAGTCTAAAGTTTAGACTCTTAATAGTGTAATAAGAGTGAATTAATGTATTTATTAATACCTTCAAATAGTTGTTGCATTAATGGTATCAAACTATTATATCGGCCACCAACAAATACCTCTCCAGCATCTAAACTCAAAATATCTGCTGCATTGTTATCTAACTTCATCATACAGTCATCTTTATTGAGTCCCTAAAATTTTTCAATTAAATAAATTAATAGATGTATTGTATTATGTATTAACTAAATTTATGACACCCTAAAAACGTATGGGTTATTCAATAAAAATAATTTTTATAATACTTTTAACATGAAATTAAATCTGTATGAGAAAATTGTATTTTTTAATTATTCTAACAAGGCGTTAACATACATGTTATACATATTTTAAAATCCATTTAGTACCACAACAATTTTAATACATTTATATCCACAATTAAAAAATGAATATTTCTATTAAGTGTCTTTGACACTCATAAACATATGCATTATGCACACAAAAACACATAATATACATACAACTAATACACAAATATTGTATGTTATGCAGTAGGTATAAGCTTATAGATAATTTCTCAGGCTTTTAAACAAAAATCTTGATAAAAAAAGTTTACAGGAGAGATTCTAAACGGTATATTGTGATAGACTCAGATAAATTGTATTTAAATTTACTAATAATTTATAGGATGTGGTAAACGTTTGATTAAATATCACAAAATATTACAAATAAATTCTTCTTAAGGAACTAATATAATGAAAATACATTTCATTTGGGAATACAATAATTTTAGCTCAATAATAAGATTATTGAACATGATTGTTTCTAATAAAAACAATTAAATGACCATAATGTTGATGAAATGATTTTAAAACAAATTAACTATTCGGTGTATATATTCAATAATCATTATAAATTAGTTTGTCATTGAATATTATTTTAAGCACTTTCAAAACAAAGACATTAGAACTATAATTTTTTCCACGATATACATATTATATATAAGCATAATAGGTAACTCCCACTAGAGTATTTCAGACTTACTAATTTTTTTCATGGCTTTTTTCTAAAATTTAAATTTCTATTAGAAACCTTGTAGTAATCTACTGAACAAATTATGGTCAATAAAATCACAATAGTCTATGCTCAAGATAATTTATCTAACCTAGATTTTTACTTTAAAAGTCTACTTGGTCTAAGTATAATTTTTTCTAACAAATTATTTGTTTTAATGGTTGATTAAATATCATTAGTATTATAATATTATGCGTTTCACCTATCCTTTAATTTTATATCCTACATTTTAAATATCATATTTATATCTATATTTGATATAAAAATTAGTAGTGTTGTTATTCATATGAAAAAATATAGAGAAAGTGAGCCTCAATAATATTATTACAGGAGAGTTTTATAAATAAATATTATTGGAATAATTATAATACTTCATTTTGTATCAACAATAACAAGTATTTTAAGTTTAAAAAAAATAATAATATAAGAGATGTGGATAGGGTCTGTCTGGTATATTCTAATCAACACATTATTTTTAGGCAGTTTATGTAGTGATAGTATATTGATATCATTTCAATCCTTGGTAACCCATATAAGTATGGTAGCTACACAGATAAAAGCATGATTTTGCAGTACACAAATATTCTATCATAAAATAGATTATATTATAAATGCTGTCTTCAAATTACATATCTAAATACTCAAGAAAAATACTAGATACCTTAAAACTATATAAACTTAACATTTTTGTTTATTAAAAATATATTTTTATATTCAATGTGGTTTAATTGGTAGTAGAAAATAGTATATACAATTAGGAAAAATAATTATTTGAAAATAAGTGGATATTTGATTTTAAATGCTAATACTTTGAGAAAGTATTTTAGTATTTGGAATACTTCTTTCAAGTAAGTACTTTTTTTCAAAAACATTTAAAATACATGTTTGAGTACTTATAAGGTATTTGAATTGGACTTTTTACTTTAGCACTTCACAAAACTTGTTGTCCATACTGTGTATACCTTTATGTCCAAAAATTAAATATTTACCGGTTTGCAAACAAGTTCCATGAAATCTCTAGGGTTAAATTTCTGTTTGTCTCTGTTGACAGCTGCAGACAAATTTAAACATTTTGATTGTTCTTGGATATTTAAAGTACACCAAGTGATACGATTGGTTTTATCATTTTGTAGATCTGATATGTACCCTGTAAATGATTTATAAAATAAACATATTATTGACGGATAGGAATTGCTGCCATTAGATAATATTGTTTTAAATACAATGATTCTCCAAGCATGCTAACTTCCATTTTTACGCATCTGTATATTCATCAAATTCATATTTTTGTAATTTTTATGTATAAGTACTAAACACGTTGACTGCTATGTGAGTAATCAAATTTTATACTTTTGTGACTGCCAGCCAATATAATTGATCATTACTACCATACCACATGACCACCGGGAACCATAATTGAATATGGTTTCGTATTATTAACTTTTCCATTGCGGTACAATAATGTAATAAAAATACCACAGTGGCATAATGGCCATCATAACAATGTTTTTAATTATTTTTTACATCAAAAAATGTTCTAAGCGTATTGATAAAACATATCGCGTGACAGCTAGCGGTCACATGCCAATCAATGTGTTAAAGACTATATTTTAATTTTCATACATTTAGATTTCTTATACCAATTTCTGTTGGTATTTTGCATTGTATTTTGTAGTATGCACATTTTGATGACAAAAACTACTCATTCAAATTTTGGATTAAGATACCTACATTAACAATTAAGTTTTTTTTGTCATGCGACACTCCTTAAATGGCATAACAATTATCAGTATTTGAGGATATGACTCTTAAAGTACCTACATATCTAAAAATTACAAAAATCAGAATTTGAATAAATTCAAGAAGAAAATATAAGTAAGTAGTGAATTATTAAAGAAAAATGGGGGCGTGCATGCTTGGTGAATCACCGTGTAATACTATAAATATGTTAATACTCATGACTTACCGAAGACAAATGCAATGTTCACCAAAACTAAACCAACTGTCAAAAAGGTCATCAAATTGTTGGATGTCTTCATTGTGTTTTTGTGGAGGAAACGTCTCTTTAAAACATGACAACCGAAAGGTACCTATGCAAATCAAATAGTGAATTGATTAAATGAATTTGAGGAAAGTTGAGAACATATTTTTGAATTCAAGTTCACGTCCATCCATTAATACACGATGATCACTACTCAATACTCACTAGTCACTGGCCGTACACTGGTACACTATGTGCCGAAACTCGTACTTAAATATAAAATATTGATTTATTACGGACTAATACTTAATAGAGACGGGTACCGCAGACAAGACAATAATGTACATTGGACAATTTATTATTGTTGTAAACTTGTAAACAAATAACTGAATGATAACCGCCACAAGTGGGCGCAGCAAGTCTGCTGCAGACTGCTGGCGCTGCCCTGCCCTTTCCTGTAATTGCTGTCATGGACGAAAAAATTAAAAACCGTGATTGATAACGTCTGCCGACAATGCGGTCCACATTACGATAACGATAATGTTTATTTCATTGATGTTATTCAATGCTAATAGTCTACTACTCTTCTGACCAATACTGTAAATTGTAATATCTATACATACTATGCAAGTGTCTATTAAGTGTTGATTGCGATTATGTATTATTTATTACAAAATTAAATTGTACCTACCGAGAGAAAAGAATAACCTTACAGTTTCACTTAATTTCCAGCTAGTGGACTCGAAAGGAATATTTCGCATTTGTAAGTATTTTAACTAAAAAAAATTATGTAAAATACATACTTTTATAACTTGCCTACCTACAAACACGATCATAATCTGTTCCTATGTATTTGTTGTTTGTCACAGAACTGTTTTCCAAACATCAGTCACAATGTTCGGAACTTGTCACAAGCTACTGAAAGGTAAATAAATACCTATAATATTTTTCTAGTAGTTAACTGACCATTATACACGTCTAAAGAATACTGAACTATGCTTTTTTCATAAGTTGTTTTAGCTTTTAAATTATTGTTTATTTTAGTTAGCCATTCGTTTTCTTATTTGAAAGTTTTTTCATATATTTGTGTATTCACATAATATGTTATAATGATTGATTCTCCTCTCAGTGGTCTGGGATTGGTGATAAGTTAAGTTAAATTATTTTTTTTCCAGCTTAAAATATTCTCAACATTTTTGCCTAAAAACAACCAAATTCATTTTTAAAAATGACTTCCAAGTTCAGGCAGAGTTTCAAGGTTGTCGACAAAGCTCTTTTACGATGGTTCCCAGGCCACATGGGGAAAGGTATGAAACAAATGCAGCAAAAATTGAAATCAGTTGACTGTATCATTGAAGTCCATGACGCTCGAATACCACTTTCTGGCCGCAATCCAGATTTTAAATACTCTATTTCAGGATTGAAACCTCACATTTTAGTATTGAACAAAATGGATTTAGCTGATTTAAATTATAAACAGAAAGTTGAAGAAAAAATTATGGCTGAACAGAAAATATCAAAAATCATTTACACAAACTGTAAAAATTCGTTATGTCCAGGTGTAAAAAAAATTATGCCCACTGCATTAAGTCTTATTAAAGGATCAAATAGATATAACCGTTCAGAAAATATTGATTCTCGAATAATGGTTATTGGTGTGCCCAATGTGGGAAAATCATCTTTGATTAATTCTATTAGAAACAATATTCTTGGGAAAAAAAGTGCTGCTCCTGTTGGGGCAGTTGCAGGTATTACTAGAGCAGTTCAAAATCAAATTAAAGTGAGCCAAGATCCATTGGTTTATGTTCTTGATACTCCTGGAGTAGTTTCTCCAACAATTAAAAATGTTGAAACTGGATTAAAACTTGCATTGTGTGCGACTTTACAAGATCATCTTGTTGGAGAAGAGATAATTGCAGACTACTTGTTGTATTGGTTTAATAAGAATAACTATTTTGATTATGTCTCATACTTAAATTGTGATGAACCTACTGATGATATACGAATAGTGTTAGCAAAAGCTGCAATTCATCGCAAGTCTAGTATCAAGTATTTAAACTTTGATGGATCATATATTTACCGACCCGACATGCAAGGAATGGCTAGAAATTTTCTAAACGCATTTCGTACAGGAGTATTTGGAAAAGTACTTTTAGATAATGATTTATTGTAAAAGAAAAATTCAGTTTAAAATAAATAATCATTGCTTACACTTTTAGATTTATTTTTTTATATAAAATATATGTTTATAAGTTACAACTAAAAATATTTACTTTCTTAATAGGTATGTAGGTTTTAATAGTATTGTAAATTATATTCATCCTTAATCTAGTGATTTTTTTCTTCTATTGAAATTATATATTTATAAGATTCTGAGAGAGGCATTGTTTGGCTGCTTTCCCAACTGAAGTCTTGAAATAAATTATTCAAGTATTCAACCCATGAATGTAAATAAAAATGATTACATCATTGTTTCAGACTGTAAGCTTAAATAAATAATAATTAACAGTTTTTTATTTATCTTGTTATGTATGACAAATATATTCCAATTTTCTATAAGTTGATACAATATTGTCAAAGCCTATACTAGTAGTTTAATTTTACCGAAGAAAATTAAATATCAAGTGTTATACCTCATACATTTAAGAAAACTCCTTTGTGATAATGAGAAATGAAAATTCGCCCCAAAAATGTATCTCCTCACATTTTTATAAAAAGTGTTTTGACTCTAAAAATAACTTAACACCTTACAGTAATTTATAGACAATATGCAAGAACATTTCTTTAACACATAAGCAAACAACAGGTATTACAACAGCTGGGGTGGCCTCTTAATATTATCATTATAATATTTAAGAGTAATTAAAGTACACAAGTTTAAAATTTATTTTTGAAGTAAAATGTTTTAAAAATATATTTTAGATTTTTTAAGTACTTATCCAAAATTGATCTGTAGAATGATTAATAATAATTTATTTATAAAATTAATCCATTATTTGTTACATTTTTTTTGTATGTATTAGATAATGGTAAATAGCTAAGTACCTACCTATTTATTTATAAGATACTTTGAAATTGGTCAAAATTATAAATTCTGAAACGTGTAATGATATATAATATTATATCTATAATATCTATCTATGCTTACATGCATACGAGCTATATATTGCAATCTATTCAAGGACTATAGTTAATTAGGTTATTCCGTGCACATATTCTAAGATACACTAAAATATTATGATTACTTTTATTAATACAGTATGATAAAATATGTCTTACAATAACTACCTAGGTATAGTAATGGTTTTATGTAACTAATTTACATATTTGTATGTACTTCTATATTTTTAAATACATTATTATTCAAGTCACATTTTGCTTTAATTTGCAAAATAATGTTATTTCATTCAAAACTGTACATTGATATTTTAATTTTATTCCTGCGTTTTCATTTTATTCTGTAGGTAACTTATTTCTTAAAAGAATATATTGTAAATTAATAATCTAATAAATCTTAAACTCTTATTATAATATTTTATCTACATTTAAAAAAAATCCTTGTATAAATGAGAGTAATTTACATTACCTACCCACGAATTACGATACTGTTGTGTTTTTTTTATTAGTTTTTACCATAGACTGTTTAAGGCGTGCTTCAGTCTTTTCATGTATAGTCGTGTACCTGCTTACAATTATACTATGTAAACTAAACTTATTAAATAATAGTAATAATAACAAAAACAACATGTTAATGTATTTTTATATCAGGGTAAATGCACATAGTCTAACAATAAATTTGTAAAATTGTTTTATAATTTATTTTATCCTTATTTTAAACATCACTTATCTCGTGATTGTATTGTTAATTAATGGATAATAATACACGCACTGTACGTTTATTTATTCAGGGATAAGTATTGGCGTAAGCACGAGGTACATGGGTAGGTTCCGAACAAACAGATTTAATCCATGGACCAATTTGCAAAAAACCATTGGCCAAAAGAAAACCGAAGCAGTAGATGGAGACGTGCAGGCGTTTAAAAGCGAGGTAGGTACTTAGTATTTATATTATAGACCATATTAATTGTTGATGTGTCTACAGAGGTATATAATATACTTTTACGCTGCACTCATTAGAGTGGATTTTTATTTTCATTACACGTATAAAATATAATTTTATATTCTATTCTCTGTATCGCTATAATTTCGTTAAATTGTGTGTTGTCAAGCATTTGGTTAACATACCTAACCCGTACGAAAAGGAAAAACGGTTGTGCATTCTCTGCAAAATGAACATTGTTCCGGACTACAAGAACACCAGGATGTTATCTCAGTTTATATCCCGTTTTACTGGTCGTATTTACGGTAGACACATTACAGGTCTATGCCGACACAAACAAGACCACGTTGAAAAAGAAATTAAAAAATCCAGGGAAGCAGGTCAGTATCTACTTCCTATACCTACCTACTTTATGGATCCTGCATCCCTAGTGTTTTTCATTTCATTGTAAATAATTATACGTGTGTTATTTATTTTTGTTTTTATTTCCCTCGTGTCTTTTTAATACTATTACACATTTACACCCAATTTCCGGTCGTATAGGTACAAACATTGAACGAGACTCATGCAATTATTTTTGTACTTACAACGCGTATTACGTACCCACGTTTGGCGTAGGTTCCTTTTTTTCTTTCCAACTTTTAACGTATGTCAAGACATGCTGATGTATTACTATTAGCTTCCTACTACCTATTTCATATGATTACCAATAAATTATTCACAAAATTAAAATTATATAATTTATACACAAAATTCAGTTTTTAATTTGGTATGGACATCGACTGTACTTTTTACGTGATTTTGATAGTTTATTATTTTTGGTTTCAGGTTTGATGCCGTTTTATTTCAGAAATCCAGAATTCAGCCATGATCCTAAACTGTTCGACCCTGATAATCCTTTTAGACCTCATAGTTATTAGTGTTTTCAAATCATATAAAAATTTATGTTGTATATTAAAAATCAATTGTTCAGTTCAATAATAATAAAATGTAGATGTGCGTTTTAATGCAAGTATTAAACGTGATTTGGTTTCTATAAATCAATAAGTCATTTGTTTTTGACACGAAACGAGTAGATTTCTGTTTCTAACGAAATTAAGGCTTAGGCAGTTACTGTCATTTGTAACTAGTTCTGTGTGGAGTATGCTGTTGAAGACAGAGCTGGGAGTACCATTCGTACTTGTTGATCAATTTAAAATTGTTTTTTTTTGCTTAAACATTCATGAGAATAAAATGTGTTATTATTAACGCACATTTTATTATATTTATTAAATTATAGATACCTATATATATGACTATCTTATGTGTTGTACCTACATAATTTTCGACA